ATATTCATGAAGGGGATGGTATCAATTCTCTGCTAACACAGCTGGCTTCCTAACTACGCCATTCCTTCCCCTCCGTGCTGTTATTTTTTGGTGGTGTCCGAAAATGGAGGGCAACTGGGCCTGAGTTTAATGACGCAATCGTCCCAAAATGGTGTAGGAGCAGGAAATGGACCAGGAACTCTTTTCACCATCTCAGTAACTTCCTGTTCCTTTCAAACTACCCCCCCTCTTTTTGTGATTGTAATTGTGAGATACAAGTAAAGAAGTCTGATTCTACCTTACCTGGAACAGGTAAGTAGTTGCTTTGATTTCTTAATCTGTGAAAGGTTTGTAGGAGTGTTTTTTGCTATGAATGGGTTGGAGAGTATCTATTGACATATTTGAGACGTCATCCTAGAACAAGATCATAAGCAAGCATACTTGCATGGGGGGAAATGTATATTTTACATTTTTAAAAACAGGGGGGATACAAAGAGTATGTCCAAGGCACTAATTAAAGAGAATGATTTCCTTGACAATGCTTAGATATCCTGCTGTTCCAAAGAATGTTGCATGCTATTCCGAGATATATGATGCTAGATATATATTTTATCTTCAGTAAAGCCCATCACTCTGGGGAAAAAAATGACTCTGATGGCCACTTGGCTGGTACACTCTCTGATGCACAAAGTGGTTGTTTTGCCCTCCTTTTTTTCATGCTCCCTCTGCGTAGAAGATAACGTCTTTGTCAAACAATGTCGAACCATCAGATAATGCCGAACAAATCTTAGAACATGGTCTTAATAAGGACCAGTGTAATACAGGAGTTTTCCAAGTTTAGTTCATATCTGTGTAACGATTCCAGGAGCAGACTGTAACTATAGTCTGTCAGTTAGCTATCACTGTCTCCGTTTAGCTCGTGGGAATTGAATAAGACATCCCCAGTGTGTGTATATGTAAGAGAGGAGTTTCGCTATTGCTTTTAATAGATGTTGTCTGATAACCTGAGATTCAATCTACCTGACTTAGGTGACAATCTGCCTTCCACCAATTGCTTTGCCTCTGGAATCCCCTTGTATCTTCCCATCCTTCCATTTCTTTGCTGCTCACCCAGCAATGTCCCCCACCCATCACTTCCATTGCATTCAGGCAGATGGTCCCCTTCCGTGTTCTCATGTTTCAAAGGAATGTCAATAATTAATTAATTAATTAATTGGCTAGCGTTTCATTGTGCACCAGCTGGCTGCCTTAGGAAAGATCTTGAAAATTGCTAAATATACTACAGTAATAGGATCCCTGAAAACCAGTTCATTTCTTCCTGGTTATCCCTTATGTTAAGTTTTAGAAGACATACAGTACTTGATGTCATTTTTTATCCTACGAAACCTTTGGTTTAATTCCAGATGGCACATTTCCTTATGAAAGGCCCATCAGGTTTACTAGGTTTTCCAGAGCTGGGGAGGCCATTTCCACCCTCCCGGAGGCTCGTCCAATGCCCCCGGAGTCCAGGGAAGGCAAAAACATCCCCCTCCCCGGTGATGCAGGAGACTGACTAGGCCACACCCACCATGGTCAGACCCAGCCAGCAACCAGACAGAGAATCCCTTGCTAAAATTTTGGAAGCCCACCCCTGGTTACAAGCATGTGTAGCCTGCCAATCCTTGGTATAAACAGGCGTTTCTTTTCATAGAATCCTACAAGTAAGGAAAGGAAGCGCCTAGGAAATCAATTAGTCAAATCCGTTGCATAATGCCATAGTCTACTATTATAGCATCCTCAACAGATTCAGCTTCTGTCTGAACACTGTAGAGAAGGGGAGTATATTTCTTTCCAAAGCAGTCTGTTCCACTGTTGAATCCATTCGGTTAAGATTTTTTTTCCCAATTGTGCAACCAAAATCTACATCCTTGTAATTTAAAACTGTTGTTCATGTCCACTTTCTTTCTCAGCAAAATTGCCATGCATTATGTATGCTATGGCCAACATAGAAGGCAGCAGACTGAAGAAACTTGATTTAAAATAATACTGCCTCCCTCCCTCCCTCCCTCCCTCCTCTCTTTCCAGCCAATTGCACAGCTTTCCTAATTAGTTTGTCTGTTTTCCAAAAGCATTAGCCCTGTTAATTAATTAATAAGGCTAAAAAAGTCTACTCTTTTTTTTTTTTGCATTTTTGGAGTTGGAAGAGTTTAAAGAATAAATCAAGTAGCTCTAGCCTTAATTCATCCTCAAATAAGTTTGAATCACAGCTTCTTCCCACCTTTGGACTATGGTTAGAGGGAGGATAATGGGTGATAGCTTTATAGCTTTTGTGGATCCCTATATATTTCAAGAGGTCAAGATGCAGATGATGCGGAACTGGAAAATAATGTCTAAAGGTCCAGTAGAAGATAATAGCAATAGCAATAGCAATAGCAGTAGACTTATATACCGCTTCATAGGCCTTTCAGGCCTCTCTAAGCGGTTTACAGAGAGTCAGC